TATTTCAAAATTGAAGTTATCATATGACAAATATTCAGTGGACAAAGTTTGAACAAAAATCTATTGTCACTTTTATTTCAGAGGAATTACCTTAAGTTCCCTAATGGGAGGGGGTGGGGGAGAAGGAAGAGCAGACTATTTTTGCCTTGCGAATTCCAGATGGAATTGCGTGACATAAAGGGCTTTTTTTATATGCAACTGTTGTTTACAATTTTTTCCTTTCTCTGCAGAATCAAGTAAAACCAGTCAAACCTAGTTTAGGGACTGGACCTATTCATCGAGACTACAAAAAAAAAACCGGTTTAAGTCTTTGAAACAATCCAAACAACCATATCAACTCGCCCCAAACGAAAGCGTTATTTAGTTATCTGCGTATCGTGCAGTTATAGTCTTAAGTTGAAGATTTTCACAATGCCAAAGGTAAGGGAACAGCATTCTCGATTCAGCAGGTGTTTTAGGGTAAAAATGGCTTAAAAACACACGCAAGGTCGACCAACAGTAGAAATCGCGTAACACTTTGTTTTGTCTTAAATCAAAGCGAGGAATATTGGAACGCCTAGACGCTGGCGAGGTTGTGGTTGGAGATGGTGGGTTTTTGTTCTGCATGGAAAAGCGAGGCTACGTGAAAGCCGGAGTGTGGACCCCTGAAGTGACAGTGGAACATCCTGAGGCTGGTAATGACATTTTCATCACTTGAAATGTTGATGAAGAAAGCAAGATGGGTCTTGACCGTCACCGAGACACTAAGGTCCATAACTTGAAAACAAACGGGCCGAAACTCATTAGCATTTGATTTTGTTCAGATGAGTTCTAAACACAACACTGTTCTTAATTCCGCAGCCATTCGGGACTGACATCGCCCGCAATTTGTCCAAAAATTGCGAAGGAGTATTTTCTTGACTTTAATTGATGAATCTTTAGCTGGGCTTTCTGGGTGTCACGAAAGCTCAGACCCCGAAAACTCAGACCTCAGACCTACCACGAAAACTCGGACCCTCAAACCTCAGGCCCCTGAAACTCAGACCCCTCGAAATTAAAAAAAAAAAAAGGATTTAAACTCGTCTCAATTAGCGTTCATAGGCAACAGCCAGAATGGAGCGAGATATTTATTTTCTCATCGTTTATTCTCTAGTTTATCGCCGTCGCGTCGATCAAATAGTGAAAAACTAAAGGGTTAAAATAGCAGTCGAAACTTTGATGACATTTGTTGGTGACTTTTTTACCGAAGAAACGGAAAGACAGATTCGCTATAATGTTATTCAAAGTCAGTCGGCAGCAATTAAATGTCATCGAAGTGTCGACTTGTGTTAGTTTAATTTTTCACTGTTCGATCGACGCGACAGCGACAAACCGGAGAACTGATAAATATCTCGCTCCATTCTGGCTCATTGCGTGACCTTAAAACATTTCAGGCGATAAGAATTGCGTCGAGTTTTTAAAAATTTTCAAAGTCTGAGTTCGGGGGTCTAAGTTTTCGGGGGTCTGAGGTTTCGGGGGTCTGAGTTTTCGGGGGTTTGAGTTTTCGGGGATCTGAGTTTTCGGGGGTCAGAAATTTCGGGGTCTGCGTTTTCGGAGGTCTGAGGTTTCGGGGTCTGAATTTTCGTGACGCTACACCCAGGCTTTCTTTTAACTTTTAGCCTGCGTGTAGCCGTGCCCACCCCCTCGAGGAAAAACGGGAATGAGGGATGTTATTAATTAACATAACTTTTCCAGTCTCGCGGAGCATTTCAGAATAAAAAATACAACTGCCAAACTCCAAACAGTTTCGATTTTCGCATTTCTTTATTATTTTACATTAATCATAATGGTTAATATCGCAAGGGTTCGGTACATACAGGTTAATTCGATCCGCCAAGTCGTGGCAAAAGTCGGTCTCTCTAGCCCACAGAACACTGAACAGGTCGTTAAGCCTGGGTAGCAAAATATAATTTTTAACCACCAGTTTCGCAAGAGCGGAACGCAAAAACAAAATTGGAAAATATAAAAGTGGCTTAATAATTCATTGTTTCTACCGGGCATTAAATTTCGTCTGAAACTGGGGAAATAGACTTCTGCATTTTGATCTAGAGGCTATCGATTTTCCGGAAACGATATCCCGAATGGAGAAGACTTCTGCTTTTCTCGAGGGTCGAGAAACGACGCTTCTTGTGTTCGTCACGCAATCTTTCCATCTTATCTTCCCGAACGGGAATGCGTGACAAGCCAAAATTTGTAGTACGGGTTGACCGTTTGACTTTTGAGGGGTAGGTGGGTCATTTCTAAAAACAAAGTCCAACCTGCGAGCATACTAGTACCAGAAAAAATTTACACGGAGGGAAAATGTTACGCATACACACATCCCGAGAAAAAGATCCTAGTGCATAAAAGGTTAAAAAAAGTACGCCTCTAGCGAATAACCCCCAACCCCTTTCCTCCCCCCTTCAATCGTCGAATGACCCACTCCTAAATTAGCCTCTGATCAAAACGCGAAAACCGCACACACGGGGACCATATCTATAAAATCTTGGCTCACTGAATCGTTTCCTTTTTTTTGATTCTCTACACAGTACGACAACTGCATCGTGAGTTTCTTCGCGCAGGCGCTGATGTTATGCAGACTTTCACATTCTACGCCAGCGATGACAAGCTTCAAAATCGTGGTAATACAGCTTCCGAGAAAATTGGAGTAAGGACGAGTCAGATTGCTCTGCTTGGTACAACTGTAAAACTACTACTGATAGAAAAAGATCTCCCGTTGTATTTTAGGGCGAATGTATTCAGTGGGACGTTCGAGAAAGTTGTTTTTACGATAGTTTGCCTGTCTCACAAACTTTCTTTTGTGCTTGTCACGCAATCTTGCCTTACGTGACAAGACAAAGGGGGCGATGCTCACTTTAACAAATATATTTCATGTTGCCGGGCGTCTATTCAGAAAATGTGTTAAGAACAAAAAAAGTCACACGAGGCGATAGCTGAGTGTGTCACTAATGTTCTCACCGCATTTTGACGTCTTTTGTGATCATTTACTGAACAGTCGCATGGCAACATGGAACCTATTTGTTTTATATCATAAAAAAACACAAAATGATAATGACGTCACTATACATCTGTCCTCCACGTGATCATAAGTATGAACCAATCAAAGTGCGAGAATAAGTCGACTTGTTATGTAACACTTCCTATCACCCTCGCCTGCGTCGCAAGCGATCGGCAGCTGGGTTCTCGACGATTTAAGTTATTCCATATTGGTTTACTGACGGGCAAGAATTCAAAATTCAAAATTCAAAAGCCTAGAAATTTCTCTCACTTTAATTTTCCTGAAACAACAGTTAACTTCCTTGAAACGATTTCTTCTGCAAGCCGTAAAAAACTAAAACTAAAGAAGTATCGTTCATTGCGCTCCTTAACTAGGTTCAGATTTCCTAGTTATTCATCTAGAAGTTAATTATGTTGTAAGTCTCCCATACATAACATCTCAGGGAATTAGAGAGTTGTCCACGCGCCTACATCGTCTACATTATCTTTCAGTGCGAGCTCATCAACCAGGCTGCGTGTGATCTCGCGCGCGAGGTAGCTAACGAGGGTGACGCCCTCGTAGCAGGAAACTTTTGTCAAACGCCCTCCTACATGTCAGGACTTGGAAAAGAGTTTGTTCAGAAGGAATTCAAGAAACAGGTCGACGTGTTTGTGAAGAATGACGTGGATTTCTTACTTGGAGAGGTAATTTTCTCAGCTGAGATTTTCCTGCGCTCGGAATTTCCAGTTAAATTATTGACATTTGCTTATTGCGATTTCCATTTCATTTTATTGTTTTAGCTGTTTATGTACGTGGAGGAGGCAGAATGGGCGATTGAAGTAATGAAAGCCACAGGCCTGACAGTTGCCATGTGCCTTAACATCTGTTCAGCTGGTGATTTTGAAGGCGTGTCTGTTGAGGAATGTGCTGTTAGAATTGCTAAAGCAGGTAAACGGTGGAATTCGTGTTTTATCTTCTTTCTTTTCTTCGCCAACATGACACTTCGGCACTATTGCAGTTTTTCGTAGTTTTGAAGGAAGTTCCAACAAAGCGTGTGTTAATTACGCTGTCTTTCATTAGCAGTTCTTTGCTTTAATCCATTATCATATTCAGACTTAGTAATTTCTCTTGGGTTGGGCCACGCGAGGTAATTTTATTAACACGGGAAAGTTGTGTTTTTTATATATTATACGGTAAAGTTCGGTTTTATATTACTCGGAAAAGTTCGGTTTTATAGTACTCAGCTCGGGAATGTTCGGTTTTACATCACGCGGGAAAGCTCGGTTTATATTGCTCAACTACTCGGGAACGTTCAGTTTTATATATATTACTCGGGAAAGTTCGGTTTTATAGTACTCAGCTCGGGAATGTTCGGTTTTACATCACTCGGAAAAGCTCGGTTTTATATTACTCGGGAAAGTTTGGTTTTACATCACTCGGGAAAGTTCGGTTTTATATCTCTCGGATGAGTTCAGTTTTATTAACAAATTAAACATTTACGATATAAAAGAGTCGGCTAGCAGTTTGGTTCGACACTCTTTGAGAGAACAATAGAGCAAACAACAAACAACAATACCCCTAGCCCTAAACAGTCACAACTGCTACACTCCACGACAAATAGAATGACAAGCTTACGATAGCTGCTTCACGTCGAAAATGTAAACTCGATATAAAACTATTTTCCAATGTTACTCTTTTGATAAACATCCGGGAAATGATTTACTGTAACCATGGTAATATCAGCTTGACTGCTGTTTGCTTGTTTGCAGGCGCTGACATCATAGGCGTCAACTGTTTTTATGACCCGGATGTGTGTTTGAAAACTATGAAGGCCATGAAAGAGGCGCTGGAAAAGGCTGGATTGAAACGTCATTTGATCGTTCAGCCCGTGGGATACCGAACTCCGGAATGCCTGGATCATAACAACCCCGCCAGTAAAATTGGAATGACGGGACTGGAAGAGTTTCCTTTTGGTATAAAAGATAGACTCACCATGCAAAACATAACAACAGCAGCAACACATATCTACCTTTGTCCGTTCTGATAAACGCCCAATTTCATAACAGCCTAATAAACTGTGAAAAGAGAATCCTAAAACAGTTTTAGTCCTAATAATCAGTTGGGTTTTTTTTTGCTTGTATCAATACTTTGCCTTTCTATGCGTGTTTTCGCTTTCAAATGTCCCGCGCGTCGCCATGTTTATTTTACTAATTCTGTAGTTTCCTTGTTTAGCAACCTCGATCCCAGTTCCTTCTCTTTTATCTCCCTTGTCGTTGAGGAGAGAGAAACTGGGAACTAGGTTGCATATTTAGATCTGAGACACGTAGCGACGTCGCGGATTACCATAAGGAAGCTTAAGCAAACCACGATGACGACGGCAACGAGAACGCCACCAAACAAAAGGTTTAATGAGCAAAACAATAGCTGTGTGCATGTATTATAAATCTTTGTACATTTCTTTGCCGTCCTCTGCAAAATAACAACGTGAAATGACCAAATTCTGCGTCATCTACTGGACATGGACGACGACGGCTAATTTTTCGTATTCCCATTTGGAATTGAACGCTGTCATTGCATATTTAGCTTGAGCACGTTTTTAGAGCCATTGGTGCTCCAAACAGATCTAGACAATCGCGAATTTCGCTGGTAAAATATAAATTCATTTTTTACTAGGCGTCGTCCTCGGCGTCGTCGTCGTCGTTGCTTAAGCTCCTTATAGAGTGAACATGGTGGACCTGTTACTTAAACACCCCCCAAAAATGTAAAGAGAACCATCAAGCTTGCACTGGTTCAGTACCTAACCAAGGTGCCCCTAAACTACGTGACAGTTTTACTAGCAAATTTTAATTGATTTCATTGGCATTCAATGACACCGGAACATTTGTTAGAAGTAAGACATTTCAGTGTCTTTTTCCTTTATCTGTCGGTTAATAATTAACTGCGGCCCCGTCCACATTACGCCGAAGGAATTTGAAAACGGAGGTTTGACTCTGAAAACGCATCAAATGTTTTCCGTCCACACAACACCGGAGAAATTTAAAAACGCAACAATCACCGGCCATTTTGAATTTAAGTTTGAAGAAAACTCTGTCAGGGAAATCACATGATTAACGTGAATACATCTTTTTCGAAAAGCTCCGTTTTCAAAATGTTTTCGGTCCAATCGAAAATGAAAAGTCGGCGTTTTCAAATTTCTCCGATTTGAAGAGAATTTTCGAAAAGCTCCGTTTTTGTGACGAGTTAATGTGGACGGTAGGCCTAACCGTAGAAATAAAGCTGCGTTTTGAAGTTTCTCCGGCGTAGTGTGAACGCGCCTGACGTAACTGTGATTTTCGTTTCACCCGCGTCCATTGTGAACCTATAGATCACTTGGGAATTTGTGTCATGAAGTTGTTTTTCTCTTGCAATTCGATGACGCAAGGACTGTTTCTGTTATTTTCTCTCAGCTTTAGAAAGCCGTTTGCTCAATCGGTTTGACGTACAAAGGTATGCTCGAGAAGCTTACGACATGGGCATTCGATACATTGGTGCATGCTGTGGAATGGAGCCTTACCACGTCCGAGCCATCGCTGAAGAGGCAAGTATCTCCCATACTTAATTACATGTAAAAAAATCCATGGTCGCTTTAAAGCGACTCAACCTCGGTCCTAGGCTCTCTCTCTCTTTTGCAGCCTGGGATCGAGGTCCGTAAAGACTGCATAAAAACGGCGGGAAAGCTCCATTGATTGAACAATAAAGACGCTTCACAAATTATACAGATTTTACCCCCCAATCAAAATATGTGAAAATACGACCTTTTTACGAAACGTTCTTAAAAGAACTTCTCAAACTCATTGATAATTCATCAAGTTAACAAACAAAATCACAACCGTGAAGAAGGTTTGGATAAATTAGCATAGATTTTGACGATTTCACTTCTCCGTTTACTCCTTAGTTTTTGTTTCGATTGAGAAGATGTATCAAACACTCGAGACAGTGTTTCATCGGTTATCCAAACACCTCGAATTTCGTCAAAAACACTCCGCTGCGCGACGTATTTTCAACTCTCTTGTCGGCGTTTGGATATTCCGATGAAATACTGTCTCTCGTGTTTGATATATTACTTCTCTGCGTATCCGAGTGATTGAGCAATTCCTTATGGAGTCTATGACTATCCGGGAAACTCACCGATAATTCGGGAGAGTTGGCTTAGATACATAGCCCTTTTATAATCTCCCAAATCGTTAGAAAGGGAACCGTGATTTAACAATGACACCGTGATGGGTTGTTTCTCAGGTCTGTTTAATACGACCATTCCTGCGACGGTTCTGGTTTTCTACTGAGTTTGGTCTGGTGCAATGACAATGTTATGTCTGACAAATGAAACCCATGTTGTTTGTTTGTTTGTTTATTTTTTTATTAGCTTGCGAAAGAGCGAGGTAAATTGCCTCCTGCCAGCGAGAAGCACAGCTTGTGGGGAGATGCCCTCCGGCAGCATACTTACCCGTGGGTTAGGGCAAGGTAAGCTAATATCCCAGGGGTAGGAAAAGCACTGATTGTGTTGGGAGTGGCCGGTAATAGCGTGGGGTAAGCTAGCTACATATGAGTTCTCAGGGCTATAGCTGAGAAAGATACCCACATGTTAACACATTGGTCACGGCCGAAAATAATTACAGATAGATTCCATGCACAGACAGTGTAACCCACGCATGAATGAATGACGGTGAGACGGTGTGTTGAGGGGGAGGAGGTGGGGGAAGGAGAGAATTCGCTTCTCCTCCCCGACCTTGAAAGACCAAACAACCCGGGATAAGCAAATCGCCACCTGGTTAGACTTTCTCAAAGTCCTCCTTCCGAGCTCGGTTCTCTCAGCTCTACTTTCGGGGTAGGTCTACTACCATCTCGATCAATCCTGGGCGACCTAATCTCAATTGGGACCAAAAAACAAAACAAAACAAAAAACCCGATCGAAGAATTGGCGGTCGCACTACGAGTGTCAGCGAGATGCAGTGTACGATTTTAACTAAGGCGCTTTCCACTAATGGTCTGTAATTTCAGGGCTCGTCGATCGCATTGGGAAAACCTTCAGCCCACAAGTGGTCGTCCCTTCAGCGGTGCCATGCGTGAATTAGTTTCTCAGTGGGGAGACCTCACTCTGAATAACAAGGCCATGGTCCAGAAGAAGACTTTGACCACGGATGAAGAAGTGCAGGAGCTGGCTGCGAAACGCGCGGAAACTAAATAGAACTGCAATGGCCTATTTACAAAGGGCCTGGTCGAATCTCAGTTATTGTTTAAAATTTTAGTGAATTTTTTCCTCGGGGATGCTCGTCGTCTCCCTTAGGAGTATAAATCAAGGATTCTGGTCTCACTTAAGGTGTTCAAGACGAAACGCCATCATCTTTAGCTGTCAAAGTATCTTTTAGAGTTGCACTGGAAGAAATAATACTGAGCCGCTGTCAAGTCCTTCGTAAAGTGGTATCTTTTAGGGGTCAAATAAAGCTCGAACCACGCCCCAGATTGGTCTCCTTTAGGGATTTAATTCAAATCTTCCGACGAGCACCCCCGACCTTTTCACATGGGACCCCCCTCTCCGAGATTTTTCTCAACTATCAGTAAACTTGGCAAATCTCGTGTCTCGGTCAATTGACACTATATTTTTGAAAGGGTATAAAAAGGCATAATTTGTGGGGATTATGTAGTCTAGTGTTAAACTACGATAGCTTTTGTTGAAGTTGTCATTCTTTAGGATACTTTCCAGATTCTGTGTAAAACAATCTTGGGCATAAATTTTGTCAAAAAGTCCATTTAAATTTGTACAATAAAAAACAAACAAACAAACCAACCAAAAAAAAAAAAAAAATCANAAAACAAACAAACAAACCAACCAAAAAAAAAAAAAAATCAGAAAACAAAAAGCATGGCCTGCAAATAGGCTACTGTTCAATACTGTTGAGAGAAAAAAATCATTTATCGCTTGTTCGTCTTGTTTCATTCCCTTCTGGGATAGTTAGTGAGTTTTAAAAGACTCATTTATGAATTTAATACTGTAGATTTTTCGGCCAATTTTCCTGGGATTGCGGGGTCGATTTTCACATTCAAAAAATCTTATTCCTCATTTCAAGATCTATTTCACGAAGTTAGTTAGTTGTGTAGTCATGAAGTTCAGAGTGCACTTGTATAACGTAACGGGCGTCTGTAGTGTACAATGATTTTCAATAAAGTGTTTTGCATTATGTCAGGGTTACCCATTACAATAGTATAGCTTATACTTTTCATCTGAAGGTAAAGTAACGTGATTATGACTGGTATTAATGCTTGCAGAGAAATAGTTGCTGGGGAGGATATAAGATTTTAGAGAAGGGAGTTAGAGATACCGACCTCTAAAGGGGGTCCCCTGTAGGGGATCCGGGGGCATCCTCTCCCGGAAAATTTTTCAAATGTAGGTCCTCGAAAATGGGATTTCCGGCATTCTGAGGCCAAGTCAACGTGTTACAATGTCTCACTTTTGATCAATTTAGGGGATCGACCCCTAAAAGCCCCCCCCACCTCCTTCTCGTTCTCTTCCCACGTTTTCTTGGGTAAAGTTCAGCAACCTCATATAGGAAGCCTGAGGAAGGGAGGCTGTTTTTACCCATGCACATTTGTTAACACTTCGGCAATGAACTGCACTAGCCATAAAAATTATGCGAAACATGACTGTATTTATTCGGATTTTTTTTTTGTCTCGGTAAAACAAGAAATATTCGTGGTATACGTTTGACGCAGAATATTCACTCTCCTCTATTTTAGAGTCACCAGTATGTCAGCATAATTTTAAAAAGATCAACGCCACGAAAATAAATTTGCGATATGTACCAAACTACCTCGAAATAATAGTCTGCTAGGGTGTTAAAACAACGAAGTGGTAGTAGAGATGTATTGAGGACTTCATTTTCTTGTCCTCTCGAAGTACGGACGATAAATTGGTATATTAACTACAGTGAAGTTTCTCGTTTAAGATCATTTGCCAACAGATTTTCCTTTTTTCTACTATTGTTTGCTTATTTCCTCCCTTACTGTTCGTTTAAAATGCTACTGACCTATTTGTCTAGCGCTCTCGTTTACCTACCCACCCCCCGTCAATTTCAATGCTGTTCAGGCTTAAGATGCAGGGTAAATTTGAAGCGCTCTGGAAGAAGCCGGGAAAGGGGATGTGACTGTTTCCTTTTTCCCGATTTTTTTTTTTTCTCTTCTGTTATAAACATGCAAAATATCCGTCAGCCTCAACTGGTTTTGTACCACATCGAGTCTGTACTTTTCAACAAATGACGTTCTCGTCAAGTACCCTTCACATGTTAGCTACTTAATTTTACAACACGAAGTTATCTACTCGGTTTGTGATTAAAAACCCTTCCACGACAACTGCGAGACCTCGCGCGCGGAATCTCGCGATTTTCGTTCTCGCTCCAGGACATATTTTGAGAATGCGGTTTACCCACCAGTGAAAATTCCGCATTTTTTAAATCTATCATTCATACACGTAAGTCATTATTCAGAGTTTTAAATCGCCGTTTTCTCTTTCTTCGCGGCTTTCAGTTCTCTTCTCGTTCGCACTGGTTCTGTGTCAAACAGTGGCTCTTTGACTACAATGGCAGGGCACTTGCTACCCAACAGCTCCACCTCCACCCGCGATCCTATCTCACTCAGTTCCAGTGGTAAATAAGCCAGTGAGATGCTTTTGTTGAGTCTGTAGCTGTATGTCCCTGACGTTGTGTTCCCAACAACCTACAACCGAAGTGTGGTGAGTAGTTTCAGTGGAATCGAACAACAGCAAGAAGCTTAGTTTCAGATACAGAAGAACTCAGTTGTGAAACAACTTACCCTTAGTGCTAAGACAAGCAACTTCATTAACCGAGTTCAAGACTCAACTAGGTCGCCACAGTTGTAAGTAATTTTATTCTACACGGCTTCCATGAAAAGCAGTTTTGAAATTTTTTTTTTTTTTGAAGTTTTTGTTTTTGAAATTTCTGTTCTTTGATTGTAGTTAGGAAGATAAGTAGCTGGTTGATTATCATAAACACACTGATGGAAATACCAGGTACAAATAAAGTTATCGTATCGTATGTTTACAGTCAGAAACATGGTTAAGTCCCCCTCTACCCTCCCGCGACCATTATATTTTTGAGGGTGGGAAATTGGGCATTTAATCTGATCAAGGTGGTTTCCCTTTTTTTGGCTTTTTAGATTTGCTTAACATGTCGTTTGCGAGACTTGCTTCGCACGATTTGTTTTGTTTTTGTTTTTTCTTTAATTGCTTTATCTTGTGCATGACTTACTATTTTTTGATCAGTTATTGTCCAATCCCCCTCCAAGAAATAAGATAATGGTCCAAACTTAATACAAACTGACCAAAGTGAAATTCAAGCTGGTAAAACCGGTTTCTTAGCCATTAATCAAGTGAAAATCGCGTATCGCTTTTGAGAACGTTACAAAAGCAAGTTTGCCCACTCGTTAATAAAGAACAGCATCGTACAAACTTCAAAGAATATCGTTGTTGTGTGACAAACGAAGGAAATTCAACTACCTTTCCTCCAAACCAAATGGTTTCATTGCCTTCAGGATCCACATCAGTTGTCTCCACTGCCAGCATACAGAGCTTTTTCTTGATTCCATTCTCCTTGTGTTTAAGTAAGCTTTCTCGTCCAATAAAGTCCACACCCTACGAAGAAAATTGAAAATATACGGCCGCTTTTAGAGGCTAAGTCACGCTTGTGTCACGACAGGTTTAGGTGTTGTCACGCTATGGGGTCAGTCACTAATTTTATAACGTGTACATGCATTTTGGCGAATCTTGAGGAAGATCTTTAAAGAGCTTTAAACTTGCAAAATGACGATTACGATAAGACCATATTCGTATTCTCGGTATTAGACTGGACCTAGCTTGCAACTGAGGCTAATGCGGGCTTTTCAAATGCAAATTACATAAGTCTCTTTTTAATGATATTCTCCGTCTTGAACCTCGATTACAAGCTAGTTCCAGTGCAATACCGAGAATACAAAAATGGTCTATTCATCTGCTACACAAGTTTCACGGCTGGTTAAAAAATCACTTTTGAAATAAACTTTCACCGTGAAACGTTTAAATCAAAAGGACGAGTGGATTTAAGTCTCAGTTATGTTATAAAATACTCTAGCCTGGAAATAATGAAACAATATTGGGCTTAAAATTGAGGTATGGGTGTTATAGTGGTACAGTCCAAATTTGTAAATTTTTTGCGTCCCAACAGAAGACAAGCTAACGGGCTGAAAGTTTGTAACACAGTGTTCATGGCCTTACCTTGTCAAATTTGATAAAGTAGTCTAAGCCAGCTTCCAGGGGGGTGGTGTCCATATTCATCTGTTGGAATTAACAAATTGACGTCAGTTTTTCTTGCGTCTGTCCTGTTATTGATCATGAATTTCGTCATAACATTGAAAAAGTAGCTGTGGATCCGAAGACTACTTTGACAATGTTATGACGAAATTCATAGTCAATAACAGGACAGAGCCATGAAAGACTGACGTCAATTTGTTTTTTACGATAGGAAATTGTTAAATTGTCCCGCTTTCGCTAGTTGGCGCATCGCATAAATTCTAAATTCATGTGTCTGTCCACTTATTGACAATGAAAATTAGCCAATGAGCGCGCGAGAATTTCTAGTTATCGTAAAAAGTGAGATGTTATAATTGAGTCAAAACTTGTGCAAAAAGTTGAAAGAAAATATTGTCCGTATTACTCGGCCTTTACAGAGGTGTCCGTCTTAAAGAGAACATATGGAGTCTGGTTTTTGCAGCGAGGACCAAGTGAGCTGTCAGTAAAATACAGGTGTCCGCGACCAGAGGTTCGACTGTATGCAATACACCTGTAACTAGTGATCAGAGATCAGACTGCAGAAAACCCATCAAACAGCTGAGAATTCAAAAGATGTAGATGTAGATTGCAAAACTGTAACTACTGTCTGCTTATTTCTTTGCAAACGCCTTAAAAAATCGCAAGAAATACATTTGATACATGTAGGTCCAAAATACGATTCAAAAACAGGGTCTTCTATCGTCCCCTTAAGTCTTTCACTATACCTCTAGTCCCCAGGCCCTAAATCCCTTCTCAATCCTTAAGGCCGTCATGGCATAAGTACCAAAGTCTCCAATACCAAACTCCTCCCCAGCGCTCAACAGAGCCTCGTACAACGCGGCCGTGTGCTCGTTCTTGTGGTATAACTCCCATCCAAGCTCACCTACACAACAACAAAACAAACATCTTATACACAATTCTTTAGTTAGATGTTATGTACGCAAAAATGAAAGTGTCCCCGTGTAGAACACTACTGTACCCTAATAGGCATAATTACTCATATCTGCTTGGGGTTCGTGAACAATTCTAGACCTTTTCCATACTTTTTCAAAGACGTTGTTTTACTTTTCCAGACACAATAACACTCCTGGAACCATGATGCATTGAGAGCGCACAACAACCATAATTCATTGCAGCTACACGAAAGTAACATGAAAATAGTACAACACGAAATTCGGTAAAGATTTAACTTAGCAAATAAATCCAGACCTTTTTTTCCCCTTTTTTCAGGTAAAGTCTGCATACGAGCCAAGTGGCCCATCAGGACGGCGCTTATCTCCAGTTTCAGTAGCATGAAGCGACTAGGAGTATTTCTACTCCCGCCGGGATGGGATGCTAGTCCACTGCAGGGTTACCCCCAGCATTAAGTTCGCTGGTACTCATTTATACACCTTGGTGGGGAGAGGTACTGTGAGAGTAAATTGTCTTGCCCAAGAACACAACACGATGTCCCCGGCCAGGGCTCGAACTAGGACCGCTCGATCTGCAGACGAGCGAATCATGAGGCCACCTCATCTTTTTTCAGACTTTATCTTACTTTTCCACACTTTTACCAGGTCTGGAAACCTCAAAAGACAGCAGATTGTCATTCTTTTGCAAAAATGATTCCAGACTCCATCCATTCTAGCTCTTAAAACAATAGATGCCATATTGAACTCACCAGTATAAGAAATTCTCATAGCACGGACAGGAACACCAGCCAGTTCAATGTCTTTGAACGTCAAAAACTTAAACCCACTGTGACTGAGGTCTGTTGATGTGAGCTTGGACAACACACTGCGGGAGTGTGGTCCAGCAATACCCAGGCATGAAATATCATCTGTGACATTTTCAATGGTGACATCATAATTTCCTTTCCTGGCATAGTCTAGTAACCATCTGCAGGGATCAAAGGTTTTTCTTAGTTCTTACTGAATAATTTGATGCTACATTACTTGCCAAAAAATTCGACGTTAAAATTTCGGACGCTTTATTTTTGTTTTTAAAGCGGGAACTTAATTTCTGACGTTTAATTTTCGGATACTTTTTATCTCATTTCGGACAAATTTCGGACAACAATTTCGGACACTTCGCTGAAACACAGCAGAAGTAAATTTACAGCTACAAAACACGAATCAGACTGAAACAACATCTGCTAAGATGACAGTGTTACTGCAGCCTCAAGGTTTTACAGATACACCGACGAGAAAATAACACAAATTTTATCAAACCGTTACGTAATTCAAGTCGTGTCTCAGCTAGAGTTTGCTTCATAAAGCCCGGCATAAAGGAAACTAAGCGCTTTGGAGCTACCTCAAAGTTTTATACTTTCCTATAAATATTTCGGACGCTTAAAATTTCGGACGCCTACAAGTTTCGGACGGTTTTATTTTGGGCCAAAATTAGCATAGGTTTTCTGACTACAACAAGGAACTGTACTGACCTGAGATCATGGAACTCTGAAGAACTTCCTGTCAGCAAAAAGTAATGTTCAGGTGTGATGGTGGAGACAGTGAGCTCAGCATACACCCTGCCTCGTGGACTCAACATGTGACTGATGTTTGTACAGCCCACCTAGAGTAACAATGAAACGGTTTAAAGAAGTCGTTTGTAATCCGTGTCAATCTTCTCCATCCTTAACCATCCTTGTTCCTTTATGATTTATTATTATCTCTTTAGTGTTTTTCTATCTTACTAAACTATTATTTTCAGGTTTCCTTTACTTTAAAGGTAATTCTGTATGTAGCCAAAATAACTCAAAATACCTCTAAATACCATGACTAAGCTCCTATAAAAACTGCACTAGAGCTTCATTTGTTGAAGTCAAAGCTATTGCAGTGACATCATTCTAGTTCATCTTTCGTTTCGATGAAGACCAGCAATTAAAGGTACACAGACTTATAAATTATAGCAATTGCATACAATGTTATCAGAAACTGTATAGGAAACCAATGGTTGGTTTGGAAGAACTAAAAAAGCTTTTCTTGAACCAAGCGCTTAAGCTCAGCACACGCTAAGGGAACATGCCGCAGTGACATGTGACAGCGACAGTTTTCCTTGTGTGACATGCCGGTTTTTGCGAAAACGTTCTTGTTCTGGGACAACATTGTCCCCACAACTTGTTCCATGAAGTTCAGCTGGTTTCAACTTGTACGTTATGAAGCGGGGACAAAATGACCTCAATTTTCCATGTCGCATCATGTGCATAGTTTTTGCAAACTGTCCCCGCTACAGCACATTTTTATGCCTCGATCCGTTTCTTGTGCACCAACTTGCGTACTTTTCCCACAACATGCTTCCTATGCAATTAACACATGAAGGGGCCTATCCCCGCTTCACGAGCCCGCAACAGGTCCCCTAGTGTATCTTACCCTAAAGTGACATACAGCTGTACGAACAAAATTAATAAGCATTTAAGCCTGGTTTTCACTAGCAACACAAACACAAGCGCAAACACAACAATTCTTATTTCACCGTGAAAACGGCCTTGACGCAGGCATAAGCACAGGCGCAAGCACAAGCGCAAGGATCAAAATTCTTCCTTTCTCTTGTGCTTGCGCTGATGCTTGCGTTTGCGCTGCAACAAATGAAAACGAAATACCGCTCAGGCATGACACAAGCACAAGGATATTTACCACATGTGGTTATGCTTGGCCAATGAAAACGCTGGATCCAGATTACCTCGCGTCTAAACAGTTCGGAATGTTCGGACGATTTTTCTTGTGCTTGTGTTTGCGTCGAAATTCGTTTTCACTTGGGTCATCCCTATTGCTCGGGCTTGTGCCTGCGCTCGTGCTTGCGTCGCTAGAGAAAACCAGGCTTTAGAGTTAATCTTGTCATCATTAACATAAAATTTCCACTGGCCAAAACAACTAGACAACAGAACTAATAAACAGAAAAACAAATTCAGAACAGTTTTATCTTATGCAAGTGCCAGAGCAAAGTTGACCGCTTAATTTATGAGATGCTTTTTATGTAAGACCTACTGTAAAACCAACTTTGAACAAGCAGCCTGACCCCATCCGCGCAAAGGTATCTTTATAGCACGAAGCATTTTACATTATGTATTTTATAATTATCATTTGTAGTTTTTAAGACATTTCTGTTGTCTTATATAGCCTTTTGTATTTTAGAGCTTTCTCACTTACGTTTCGTAACGTTTTGTGTACAGTTACTGTGTCTTATAAAAATTTAATTTATTTACCTTTGGTAAAACATTAGCAACCATGACATCCAAAAATCTCGACGCATCTTTGCCCTTCACCTCAAACTTCCCAAATGGCGTCAGATCAATAACACCAACTTTGTTCAATACCAAGTCATATTCTCGCCCAACTGGCTCAAACCAGTTTGTCCTGTGAAAACTTGGCTTGTAACCTCCATCGTCACCTGGAAGCGCAAACCAGTTTGGCTGCTCCCAACCAACATGAAATCCCATTTCTGCACCTCGCTCCACGAGACGCTAGTTAAAAACAAGAAAGCAATAAGAGTCAACGTTCTTCAGAAACACATTGAATGCATCTGAACTTCAGAGTTTGCACGTTACTGATTACAAAAAGGGGCAGTAAACAGATGGCCAGTAAAATGATTTAATATACGTGTACTTTTAAGTATGTAGGTGTAATACTAACCTCGTAAATAGCATTCTTTCTTACTGGACGTCCAGCTGGTCGTTCAAGTTTGGGGTGACCAGTTTGGTTATTATAGCCATAGGACTCTCTTGTCTTAGCCATCACATAGTCCTTTGTTGTCCAGTTGCCATAACGACCCTGATCAAGCTCATTCAGATCGTAAGGTGGCTCCCCCTCCATCATCCAATCGGCAATATACTTGCCGATACCACCTGAAAAATAATCATATTTATATCATGTATCATCCTCCATTTACCGGTACTCCTTGGCATACTTGAACAAAATGTCCTCAGCAATATTTTTCAATTACGTATTACAAGTCATAATTTCTAGGACAATGTGTCTGTTTCTCCTATATACACTTTCAATCCCNGTAAAACCAACTTTGAACAAGCAGCCTGACCCCATCCGCGCAAAGGTATCTTTATAGCACGAAGCATTTTACATTATGTATTTTATAATTATCATTTGTAGTTTTTAAGACATTTCTGTTCTTATATAACCTTTTGTATTTTAGAGTTTTCTCACTTACGTTTCGTAACGCTTAGTGTACAGTTACATATATGTATATATTTTTTCCTGCGTGTGAAGCTCTGATGTCTTCAGTTCACTCACATATACACGTGTACAAAACTTTTAATCACAGAGAGGTCGAAACATCGTTTTATATGGCTGGCTTTTACTGTATCTTAAAAAGTGTTAATTTATTACCTTTGGTAAAACATTAGCAACCATGACATCCAAAAATCTCGACGCATCTTTGCCCTTCACCTCAAACTTCCCAAATGGCGTCAGATCAATAACACCAACTTTGTTCAATACCAAGTCATATTCTCGCCCAACTGGCTCAAACCAGTTTGTCCTGTGAAAACTTGGCTTGTAACCTCCATCGTCACCTGGAAGCGCAAACCAGTTTGGCTGCTCCCAACCAACATGAAATCCCATTTCTGCACCTCGCTCCACGAGACGCTAGTTAAAAACAAGAAAGCAATAAGAGTCAACGTTCTTCAGAAACACATTGAATGCATCTGAACTTCAGAGTTTGCACGTTACTGATTACAAAAAGGGGCAGTAAACAGATGGCCAGTAAAATGATTTAATATACGTGTACTTTTAAGTATGTAGGTGTAATACTAACCTCGTAAATAGCATTCTTTCTTACTGGACGTCCAGCTGGTCGTTCAAGTTTGGGGTGACCAGTTTGGTTATTATAGCCATAGGACTCTCTTGTCTTAGCCATCACATAGTCCTTTGTTGTCCAGTTGCCATAACGACCCTGATCAAGCTCATTCAGATCGTAAGGTGGCTCCCCCTCCATCATCCAATCGGCAATATACTTGCCGATACCACCTGAAAAATAATCATATTTATATCATGTATCATCCTCCATTTACCGGTACTCCTTGGCATACTTGAACAAAATGTCCTCAGCAATATTTTTCAATTACGTATTACAAGTCATAATTTCTAGGACAATGTGTCTGTTTCTCCTATATACACTTTCAATCCC